GACCGAACTACCAGTGTTCAGCGACTTTACCGCTCGGCCGCTGGTGGGCGTAAGAAGAATCAGAATTACTATCAAGTGATGTTTTGAAATAATAAAAACGGAAATATTGAAACAGTGTTGCTGCACACACTATCACAACGGTACTGCTTTCTTATATGTTAATTTAGTACATGAGCATTAATACCTCAATCGAGTTTAGTTTCTCTGATAATCTGCCTACGGGCAGGGATGCTTTCGCGGAGGATTTTCCAAGAGAAATTGGCTCGTATACACGTTCCACATGGCGAAAAGCATGATAGCGCCCATGCAGCCAGCTTCTTCCTCGGGATTAGAGCCCCGGACTGAGCTACCAGTGTTCAACGACTTGGCAGCTTGGCCTCTTCCAATCTTGAACTCCGTTTTTCTAAAAATGAATCTACTGATCTAGAAACGTATAAAACAGTAAACTACCAATATTGTACAGTTAATATTCTATTTAATATATTGTAGAGATTTAGCGATATATTGGCTATTGGCGACTTCCCAAATTTTAAAAATTAAAATTTGGAAAATCGCCGCCAAGTTGATCGATTTACTCAACGAAATTACAAAATAAACAGATAAAAAGCGAAATAACCTGGTTTACCTATGAATATCAATACACAGTAACTCACACATATGATGAAAGTTTAATCTTCGAAAAACGTAGGCAATTCTTTCATGGATGTAGAAATTCGAAACTTTGAAATGTAGGTCAAAATGTACGAAATTCTAGAAATCATTCGGGAAAGTATCATGGCAGATATTTTAGGGCGATATACTTAACATAAATATATTGATTAGGGATTAAACGAGTTGCGATCAAAACAGCAATGTTTTACATTAACTGCAATTAGAGGATTGAATCAAACGGCGTCCAAACGAACAAACTGCTGAATACAGATTTTACGGACGTGGGTTCAGAATCATGGTGAACGTACCGACTGCCCGAAAGTGCATTTTCTTCACAGCTAACTAACGTTAGCCTTTTTCCATAAAATTCCAGCTGTTTTAAACTTCCGTTAATGTTTCTCTTTCAAACTGTTGGAGCTCTTCTTTCTTCCTTACATTACGCCATACTTTTCCCCTTTTTTCTTATCAGAGACTCGAGTTTCAACTTTTGTTTTCAGATTCATTATTTCACGAAGCTGAATTTTCTTTCAAGTGTGTTCAGATTGATTTTTAGAGGTCTCTTCACTTGCCGAAACCAGGATTTCTATTATTTCATCAATCGTAGTTGCCCCTGAATGTTAATTTCTTTTAAAATCGCAGAAATCAGTTTTCAGGACAGTCAACTTATCTACGAATTAGCTGTACCTTGAAAAAATATTTCGAAACAACGATAGCAATTTCAGTTTAATTAGATACAGAAAACGAGAACTTAATGAATTCAATTATAAATATTTTCAAAGGACAGTATTAGGTTATTTGAAAATGGCAAAGCACAGGAGCTATCTACCCAAGGATACCTTCGTGGAGGATTTTCGAAGGGAAACTGGCTAGCATCCACGTTACAAATAGGTAAAGCCATGAAAAACCAACCATACAGCTAGCTCGCTCGATTCCGGCTCAGATCGAACCCGAGTTAAATTGACAGCGTCCAGCCGTGCTAACCGCTCGGCTACTGATGCGGCCTTCTTGAAAAAAACTGCAATGTGAAGCGAATATTTTCTTAATTTAATATTTTTTTTCTCCGTAATTTGTTTCAATTACATTCCTTGTATTTCGATCAGTCATTTATTCGCGTGTCGTTGATACACTACTTACTGCTTCACTGAAGCTGGGATTGATTTATAGTTCAGTGTGTTTCTTCAGTGTGTTAGACGAAGGAAATACGGTACATGCATATTTCAGGGTTATGAATTCGGATATTTTGCATTTAAAGTGTTTGCAATTTTTCCCGCCTTTTCTTCAGACCTTTTCCGAATTTTACAATAATTACTCCTATAAGCAGATATGGCATCACACAGCAACAGTTTTTCTAGTGATCATTCTGACGACGAGGAAGGCCACTTTAATTCGATAAAGAAGGACGCTGTAAAATTTGTTACGAAAGAAATGTTAAAAATTTGGGCTTCCCAATCGGCAAGAAACTGTACTGTAAAGAGTTGCGACATTCTGCGATAGTTGTGTGGATAAACCGCACTTATGTTTGCCATGTTTTAATAAAGTTCATCGCCTTTGTAATTGCACCCCTTTGTAATTGCATACAAACTTGAATTTAACTAAAATGTTATATTTAAAACTGATATACATACGATAAAAAAATTATATGTGAGGATCCAACTTGCTTGGAATAGTAATGTTCAACCAGGTATTTGCTAAACTAATTCCTAGAAAAATTAATTTATTGGTTTGTTGTGTTCTGCATATTAAACCATACAACCTTTCCTTGATGGTTATGATTTTTGCGCTATTTTAATGTATTATAAGGCATACGCCAGAAACAAAATAATACAAATTAAAACGTGGGGCGCAGGCCTGAACGGGAAGTCTTCAGAAAACGGTCTGGCAGGGAACGTGTTAAAAGTTCGCCTTGGGCGTATAGGTTTATTTTGTTGCTAAAAACTTTCATGTACATGATTTTTAAGAATTAATCAGATAGGTTTCTTTTTTATGGTGTCTAATGAACTGCATTTTCTTTAAATTAAAGTAAAAATACAATTTCATACAAAAACTGAGGAAACTTTTTCGATATCAAATTTAAAACAAAAACAAAGCGATGCACAGAAACTTGAAAATGCTTTTGGTCATTTAGAAGCATGTTAAATTACTAAATCATTGTACGGCATTTCTCAAACGTTTTGCAAGTGAGAACCGCTTTTATAAGTAGAACGTTCTGGGGATAACCTTATTCTTGCCCCTTCGAAAGCATTTCTTAACTTACATTACCACCAGTATATACTTATAGTCTTTAATTACGATTATTGAAAATTCATTGGATTTTTTAGTATTAAATTAAAAACATGTTTATCTAAATTTTAATACTCTTGAATTTCTAATCTATCTTTTTGACAAATTGAAAGCTGTATTCACAATGAGGTTGACGAGCCCCACCGATTGTTCTGTATTTAGACGCATGCCAGTAATAAGCACGATAGTGCCCTAAATTACTCTTTTGTTGGTATGATTCGAGTGGAAATTTCATAAGGTGGCTGGTAGTACATTTCATAAAATGCCAGTCTTGGGAAAAGTTAACACGATTGCCATGTGTCATTTCTGAACAGGTTTTCAGTTACATATGTATGGTTGGTTTGATTTATGTGATTACGGCAAAGTTTCGAGGGCTATCTGCCTTAGGGATGGCTTCGTGGAGGACGTTTTAAGGAAAACCGGCTCGTATACTACATATGTATGGTATAAGCGGTATAATTTCATTTTGCCCTTTTAAATTTAAGACCACCAGGGCATGCTGGGACCACAGAGAGAAATAAATACTAGTGTAGAGGAAACAAAATACAGTGGAACCTCAAGATACGAGCACCTCTATATACGAGAAATTAGAGATACGGCGAAAGATTTGTCCCTAAATACGAGCATTGACTCAAGTAACGAGCAATGAGCCAGGCTGTTAGTATGCGTGGCACGTTTCCCAGCGAAAAATACACTCTTCAGATCACCGTCTTCTTTGATCTACGTGTTTGTGCGCGTGCGAGTTAGAGTTTTTACATTTAATGTGAAAATGATTTCACGATACCTCCCAAGAAGACTGCTGCCTCAGATAGTGTTAAAAAAAAGAAGCCATGGCCATTGAAATTAAGAAAAAAATCAGATAAACATGAACGTGGTGCAAGACTGAAGGAATTGGCGACGACTTACGGCCTTTCGACAACGACGATCTACACTTTTCTGAAGAAGGAAGAAATTAAGAAAGTTGTTATGGCTAAAGGAGTTACCGTTATTTCAAGCACTGTCCAAATCCCCTGGAAGATGCTGAAAAGCTGTTTGTCGGTGTGGATTAACAAGTTAAAAGACGATTCGGTGTCGAAAGCTATCATTTTTGCTAAGGCTAAGAATCTGTACTTGGACCTTCTCCAAGAAACACCAGGTACGTTGACTGAAGATGAGATGTTAATGAGATTTTTGGGTGTGCGGAACAGATTAAATAGATTTCCATTATTTTCAATGGGAAAGTTTGTTTCTAGATAGAAATTCGCTATACGAGCTCAATGCTGGAACAAATTAAACTCGTATCACAAGATTCCGCGAAATTTTAGATAAACTTTAGTCGGAAGGTTTCAGCCAGTATCGATAAAAACTGTTTAACAATACAGGAAGGGATTGAAAACTGAAAGCAACTCCCACACAGTTGGGGACGACCCCTTTATCTCCTGCCTAAGCAGATTTAGGTAAAATGACGCGGATATCTGACTGGCAGACTTGGCAACCCCGATTACTTCATATTCGAATGTCCCTTTACTCGGGGCCATCTTATCAAATTGCTGCTTGGACAGAGAATACGCTGTCTAATAATACTACACAGCTTAAGACTGAAAAGCTATTACAGTACATCTTAACATGCCAGAATTTCTCATCGTCAGTAAAATTTTTAAAACTAGCTGCACGCACTGTTTACCCAATTTTATGTATTTTGTATTTCTATTTTTTATTAATTTATGAAGTATTTTACCAAGTATTGCTTAAAGCTCTGTTACATATTTACGTAATTTGCATACTTTGTGTTACAGATGTATAGCGTATTATGTAGGTTTTTGTGCGTAATGGATTTTATTTTGCATCTTGGCGGTGCACAGTACAGATGAGTTTGAGCATTATGCACTTCTAGATGAGTAAGTATGAGAAAAACTGAGGTCAAGGTAAAGATCTTTCGTGTAAGCAAATATTTCAAACTCGATGCAACTTAAAAAATTAGCCTGTATTTTCATTAAATAATTTCTATAAAACTCCAACTGAAGAAATACCCTTTGCTGAAAAATGAAATTATGTTTTGTACCTAAATATGTATAGTCAAGTTAACTTACATGGCCTTTCTTGATGGTGAATTTGTACATGAGGGCGCAACCGTCGAGCCAGTGTTTGAAGGTGAAGTCGTTGTCGAAATCCCATTTTGCTGGACCCAGTCGGAACAGCTGACCTTCAACCCAATCCGGTATTTGCCCTGGAAAGAAAAATTTTGATGCACAAGATTTAAAGAATGATAATTGAGAAATTACGCCTGCGGCAATATTTCAGCTTAGAATAAATTATTTGCGAGTAACAAGAATAGACACTCAGGAACGCTAATCTAAAAAAACAATGAAAGAGCGGGTACTTTTCATAACTATTAAAATTAGAAAGTTCACCACGAAAACATCCTCCTATAAGCGATTTGCTTTGGTTTATTTGGTTACGAGAAGCACACAAGGACTCTTTGCCCGAGGGGAGGGATACCTTCTGCCTTCGTGGAGAACTTTCCAAGGGAAAATGGCTCGTATCCACGTTACACATAGAAACTACGAAAACTCGCATGCACCAAGCCCATTTGACGAGCCGAATTATAAGTGTTCAACCGTTTTATTTAATTTAAAAATGGTAAGTAGCTTTCTTTTTACAATGTGCTCAACGGCTGGAAGGTAATTGGAACTGTATTTCACCTGTAACAGTGCGCATTTAATTTTTATTCCGGATGCGATAAGTCGCATAAAAAATATCAATTGCATCCAATAAATAGCTTTAATCCTGGTTCACGGAAGCCTTACCCGAGATTTGGTCGACTGCCAGAATCTGATGCAAACTAGAGTAATCTGTCGACTCATCTTTCTCACTATTTGTTTTTCTACTAAGGATAAGCGTAACATAGGGTCAGTAAAAAATCAAATTATCGATTCGGTTTCTTTCCTATCAGGTATATTAAAAAAAATTAAGCCCCGTTTGATAGCAGTGCTAGAAAATGCGCACGCGCAATCATTTCTTCGGACTTTCGAGAATCAAACGAAATCGTAAAAAAAATTTACTAAAAAACTTAGTTCTGTCAATGCTTTGTTTTTGGAAAGGTAAAGTAAAACTTAAAAATTTTTGTCTTGTTTCTGTCACCTCGGTTTTAAAATTAAAAAGTTAAAATTTTTATGTTTTAAAATTAAGAATTCCACCAAATGCGAAAAATAGGCATTTACATTAGTCTTTCGGTTACACTATAGAGAGGTTTAATCCAGTTAATACTGAAAATATCAAAACTAATTTGGTAATGAGTTCTTGATAAAGTCATCAAATATTCATCATCACGCAGTTGTTGGAATAATACAGGCACCTTTCAATTCCACCTTCAAAAGATGGGAAGATATTTAGATAGGAAACGCTGCTAGAAGATTTCAGACCAGAAAGCAATGTGGATTTGACCATTTAAAAAATATATAGTCAAATAGAAGAACAGGTGACGGAAAATTGACTAGCGACACTTTTAGATTGGATAGAAAATGAATATCGGTACAAGGACAGAGAAAACTCCTTGCATAAACTCTCGGGATGTTGAAGGTCAGCCAGATAATACGCAAAATATTCACACTAGAAATTAAACGTAGAGTCGAATGTTCTAGAGAGCTACTCTGTGTGATAAACAAGTGGCTTTTTTTCTTCATGCTGATGACAGAATTTGAAACGGTTTATTCATGAATAACTGAATAGAAAATAACTCTTTATCATGCAGAGCAGTTTACCAGAACTTTCGATTATGTTCCATTTCTAATGCCAACATTCTGGGTACCATCTGGGTGACCTGGAATATCACCAGCATTTCATGACAAGTTTTATCATCTCTGCGATCGAGACAAATCTTTTCTGCGATCTCAAACTCAGAACTTAGAAATCTACCACGGATAATTTCCTGTTAGAATCATTTTTGAACGCTTATTAATTGAATTTCACAATACTGTAACGGGCTTATTAGGTTAACCTGTTGAATTAACTTCGACAAATCAAACGTAAAACTCCACCGAGAACAGAAAATTATTTACCTTTGAATGAAAACTACGGGAAATGATTTAGGCGTATTTGTAGCATAAAACCAAGACCAAACTTCTGAAATCTGATGATTAAAATATTGCTCAGTACATTTAAATTGAGCAAATTTATGAAATTGAGGAAGTACTTTAGATATTTTTCCACTGGGATGTCAAAAGGTATTCGGACTAGGAAATTTTAAGACACGCATTGAGACCTACATAAACTATCTGCTTAGAAGTCAAGCTTTTGGACTAAACTCATGTCATTTTTCTTAATTTCCTTTGTTTCAAGACCTTTAGCAATATAGCGCGATGGCTCTACGCCAACAAATGAAGGTACATGGAAAACTAGCAGCTGTACTGACTCATGCACAAATGTAGGTTTAAAACTTACGCATGGTAGAACTAAGCACAAAAAATTGAGACAGCTCTACATCTCCCTTTCTACTGGGCCGATTGACGATTGATGAAATTGGCATTTTTCATGTCTCGAATTCGTGACTTAAGGTATTAATTTAAATGTAGCATTGTCCTAACATCGGCAGTTTCGCCGCAAAAACGACATTTTTCCGAAATGACATACCGATATTTTTCCATATTTAGATTCTAAGACTCAAATTCTGAAATTTTGTAAAATTTGACGAAACTTACCGAGGAATTAAAAACCATCTTCGCACATTCTTTTCAGTTTGCGGCACGCATAATTCACTTGGGGAAACTTAATTCATAGTAAACTATTTTTCATTGCACACGAGCGGGAAAAAAGGTGCATCGTTCATTCTTTCAAATAATTTTAACGAAGTGCGCAACTACGTTTGACGTTCTTATAGTTTAACATGCCAAATTTCAAAACACGCCAACATTTAAATTCTCGTATATTTTGCCAAATTTTGAATTGAAAACTTTTTTTGCAAGTATGCCTATACATCTACTTTATTTTATAGGTTATTCGAAAATTTATGAAAATTACTAAAAGTAAAAATATAAGAAATAAATCAGTCAATATCTGCAAATTTTATTCGGATCGAACCTAAATTTTCAACTGGGAAAGAAGAAATCAAGCAAGTTTAATTAAAAAATGGTAGATATATTCGAAATTAAATTGACCTCGAGAAACTAATATTCTGAGAGGTAATTTTTTTAAAAACCGATCGTATGATTTTTACAAAAGTTGGCATTCATTTTGATCAAATCACACCTTTTGATAAAAATAGGAACCAATTTTTACATAGTGTCCGTGCAATAAATATAACAGATGAATCTTAAAGAACAAATTACATTCCTAGTCGCTATATATTTTTACGTAAAAATTTTAGTGGACTGTCCCCAAGAACTGCTCAACATAGCTACATACGTAAAGCTATCAAACACAAATTTATATACGATGCCTTCAAGGTTTTCCACGCTAACATTTATATAAAACATCTTTATGACGTCTGTTCCGAGAAGGGTGAAACTTTGCATCGCGCTTCAAAATGGCATTTTCGCATCCAATAAAATGCATATTTGTTCAATTCTGACGTTTTTCAGGAACAGTTTTGCATATTGCGACTTCCGTTTTCTTAAAGAAGTTAATATCAAACGTAGCATCCTAAACAGAAAATAAAAATTTAAACATGTCAAGTGATAAAATTTGCTGTAATCAAATACACGCTTGTTCATAAACTACAACGTTGCCTACGCCCTTCCTGGTTTTAGATTTACTTATGACGCGCGGATAAAAACAGCGCTAGTGAAGGATGATGCAAAAGCCACACACAGACAATAGAAAAAAATGAAACTTCCGAAATAGACGATAATAATGGCAAATTCTTTTCCTGAGCGATATCCCTATATTGTTGCAATACATCACTTAAAATTTTAGTTGAGGTTTATGGTACTAGTTTTGAAAACAGTTTGTTCGATGCGAGATTAGTTTCTTCCGAACAGAAAGAATTTTTTAGCATAAATTCGCACGCATAAATTTGATTGCATTATCATTTTTTACACCTTTTGTTGGTGATTACAAGATTTTTTATGTGATTATGGCAAAGCCTGAAGGGTTACCTGCCTAATGAAAGGGATGCCCTCGTGGAGCACTTTCTAAGGGAAACTGGCTCGTATACACGCTTTACACATGGGGCAAACCACGAAAACGCGCCCATGCAGCCAGCCCGTTCGCAGGATTCGAACCTCGGACCGAACTACAACTGTTCAGAGACTTTACCACTGGGAGGGGGGGGGCCTCTATTCCAGGATTTTTATTTTTTTTTTAGAATTCGCTTATTTTGTTTGCAGTCTAAACAGACGTTTGGCTGCTTTTCTATAGAAAATGCCTTCATTTCCTCAAAATCAAGTTACTATTCAGAAAATCTGGTTAAATTCACAAACATTTGGAAAGCAAGTTTTCTGTAAGAATTTATTACAAGTAACGCTCGATTATTAAAAGCAGTTCAGTTTAAGGAAAATCACCCTTTCTCGTCAAAAACTACAGCTAATAGCATAAACCGCAAACGAAATTTCAAATGATATATTGCATGCAAGAATACAAGGGCGTCAGCCATTAAAACAATATACCATTATCATCCATTTTGCAATTTCCACAATTTTTAAAAGGTTTACGTGCGCGAATTATTGTATTTTGGTATATCTGACTACAACACCAGAGAGCCTAAGGACATGGATGCCTTTGTCGAAGAATTTCTAAGGGAAACTGGTTTGCAACCACGTTACCCATGAAGAAAACCACCACTCCTACAGTTCCCACTCCTAAAACAGTCCACTCCCTTTCGCCTGGAATCGAACTCATGTCAAACTGCCAGAATTCAGCGACTTTTAACTCCCAGTCGCTGATGGCAGCAAGAATTTTGGATCATCCTTAATTCGTTTCCAGCGAATGGACCGACTACACGGGTTTTAGAGATCTTCTCCATGTTTAATAGGAACTTGAGACAATTTCTTTAAAGAAAGGTCTTCGAATAATATCTCAAAGCAATTACCATACATACACTATTAAGCGCAAGTTAAGAATTCTGTTTTACCATTAACGTTCGCCTTTCCTTAGGTACGTCAAGAAATTTCGATTTCCTTCTAATCGCATGCTGGCAGCCGATCTTCAAGTTACCTAAAACTAATTTCTCTATCCATTATAAACCAAAAGAGAAATCCTATGCAAGTAGCGATGCCTTAGTTTGTTTGGAGG